TGGGCGGCAGGGCGCTGCACTGTCGTTGCTGCTGTTTCTGCTGGTGCGCCTCCTCGCCCAGCGCCGCCAGCTTCGTGTCGAGGCTGCGCAGCGTATTGGACAGCACCGCACGCAGCTGCGCTGGCGGCGTTGGCGCTTCAGCGGCCACCGCCTGCGGCATTGTGGTCGTCGTTGTCGCTGTCGTCGGCGGTGTCGTCATTAGCCTCTGTAGCACACTGACGCGCGCTGCTGGCGGAGGGGATGTATTGCTGCTGGCATCATCCGGCAGCTCCAAGCTGCTGGCACTAGCCGGCGACAGCGTGGAGCTCTCACTCAGACTGATGCTCAGCTGGCGTGTGACGCCACCGCCTCCTCCACTGCAATTAACAATGTTGCGCTCCTGCAGCTGCTGCTGCAGCTGCTGTTGCTTCTGCTCCTGTTTCAGCTCCAGTTGTTGCTCTCGCTGCTGTTTCTGCTGCTGGTACTGCAGATTCCGCGCCGACGTCACATTCACCACGTTCACCGACTTCGATATCGAATGCTTCACATGGCCAGGCGCGGGCGGCACAAGGGCCAGCGGTGCAGGCGACGGCGCCTGCTCATCGTATGTGCCCGTCGCATGGCTAGACGCTGGCGAACTGCTGCTGCAGCACATATCATCCATGGCATCCATGTGGACGTCGGCACTGCCATTGCCATTCGCATCGGCAGCACTGCCATTGGCCTGGCCCCCATTCGCGCTCTTCTGCAGATTCTCAATCAAGTAGAGCACAATGCGCTCCAGCTGCTGGGGCGCTCGAGATGCCGGCAGATCGGGACTGGTGTGCGTGGGTATGTTGGCCTTGATGATCGTCGAGAATTTGTTCTTCATCTCCTGCACCTTCTGCTTGCCGGCCTGCTCGTCCAGCAGCGTATTAACGCAGAGAAACGAATGCACCTTGTTGCTGTTCTTGTCGATCTCCAGGAAGCCCTTCGTCTGCAGGTAAATAAAGTGTCCGTTTCGCGAGAGCAGACGATAGCAGCTCTCGCCATAGTCGCTGTTGCAGTCGTACATTTGCCTCAAGGCCACAATCACCCAGCGCACATCGTCCAAATGCATGAAGCTGAACGGGCTCAGGTTCCGCACCTGAAACACATCAACAAATACATCAACAAACAAACAACAACAACAGCAACAGCAGCAATAAAATGCATTTCTATTCGCCTAGAAGAGTTTTAAGCAAATGCGCAATAGACCGCTCATAGCAGCTTAAAGCGCAACGACAATAACTAGAAAATCTGTTATGCTCCGCTTGAAGTACAGTTTCTGGTCTATATCGAGACTAAATACTATATACATCGTATATTGTATATTTATTGTATATTTGTCAAACAGCACAACTAGCTGAGTCTACATATATTTGCTATGCAACATTTCTAAACACTGCTCTTCTATGCAATTCTCACTGATAGACATAGATAGATAGGAACATGTTTGTCCAACAGAATAGCTAGCTTTGCTATACGATATTTGTTTACAACCTTTGTCAGTGCGAACTACCCTTCTATGCAATTCTCATGCTCATCAATTTGATAAACAATTTGAAGTTTTATTTGAATTTATAAATAAAGCCATATTTATATAGTTTTGATTATATTTGTGTTTTATTTTTCTACATTTCCCCACTGAAAAGCGTGTGAATGAAGAATATAAACAAAGCTCGTTATATTTATTTCTTTTTTCCTATACTTCTCATATGATCAATTTTGTTGTTGAGTGTATTTAAACTGGAGCTCCTCATTTTACAATTCATTTGGATTTGCTCTAATTTGGCGGCTAGTCTGTCTCTCTCTAAATGTATATATTCCTCTCTCTGTTTCTCGCTCCGTGCCTCTAATTCATTTCGTATCATTCCATCTCTTATCCATTCATTATATCTGACTCTCTCTGTCGGTCTTCCTTAACTTCTCTCTATCTCTCTCTCTCTGCCTTCCTCAATCTCTTACTATCTGTCTATCTTCCTCAATCTCTCTCTCTCTCTCTCCCCTTCTATTTCACTGTCTGTTTGTTTCTCTCTCTCTGTCTTTCTGTCTCCTTCATCCACCCCCTGTCTCTCACTCGCTCACCCTGCCTTCCTGTTCTTCCTTCTCTCTCTCCCTCTCTCTCTCTATCTACCTGTCACTCAATTTAGCTTTTCCAGCTGTGTTGACAAATTTCGTATATATGTTTGTATGTGCATGTATGTAGCAGCAATACTTCTAGAATTCTCCCTACACGCATTTAATCACGATTAATAATTGTGTTGATTAGTGTTAGATTAGATTGATGTGTCATGTGTGTCACTCACCTCATCCTTCATGTAGCCCGCCACGATGCCAATGCGCTGATCACAGTCGATGATGCTGCCGTCGATGAGATGCCGCGTTCGGTATTCCAGCTGATACGGCTCCGGCTGGCGGCACATGAGGCTCAGGCAGGTTGACTCCTCGCGCATCACTCGCGCCATGGCCACCAGGACGATGTCGTTGCCGCTGATCCCATGCAGCGCTGCCTGTGCAATGGCATCGTGCTGCGGCAGGCAGGGTGCGGTTAATGTCGTCGTCGTCGTCGTCGTCGCCGCTGTCGCTGCTGCTGCATTTGTTGCTGCTGCTGCTGCTGCGGCGGCTGCTAACATATTATTATTACGTGAGCGCCTTATCAGCTGCGATACGATTGGATAGTTGGCGGCCGCGCCACCCGTCACCGACGAGTCGCTGCGCCGAAAACAACCATCGATTTTGACCATCTCATAATGACGCGTGGCTTCGGCACGGGTCGAGGCGCGGGCGAGGCGAATCGTGAAGCAGCGTCGATCGGCGCGCAGCCGCTCATCGATGGCCGCCATATGGGCGATGGTTTGGGGGCTGGGCGTGCGTGTTCGTTCTAGGTCCTGGTCTAGTTGTTCCATTTCCTCGTCATCGTCGCCTCCGCCGCAACTGCCGCCGCCTCTGCCCCCACCTCCACCGCGACATCCACCTCCACCATCATCTTCATCGTCGTCATCATCGTCGCTGGCCGACTGCGACTGCGTGTGCTGTTGGCTGCGGCGTTGCCGCTGGCATTGGCGCTGCTGATAAAAGAGTGTCTCGATGTCACGCGGTATTAGCTGTTGACGCAACAGCGCCTGATCATCAGGATGGGTTATCTGCAGCAGATTCTGGCCGTACAGGTCCGACTGGCAGTGGCCGAGCAGCTGTTCCACACTGCCCGACACGAGCACAATCTGCCCGTTGCATGTGAGCGTCAGAAAGAAGCTGTCCAGCAGCTGCATCAGCGTATCCGTCAGCAGCGGCGTATCGCCAACGCCGATAGCGCCACCGCCAGCTCCCGGTCCTGAGGCACCGCCGCCGCCAGCTGACTTCATATTCAGCCGTCGTCGACGTCGCGTTGCCGACTTCCCAAAGATGTACTGCAGCCGCAGGCCGTGGGTGGCAAACCGTAGCACGGCTGTCTTATCCAAACGCCGCGTCGATTCGGCCGCGTGCGGCACCATTGTGGCCAGCTCTTGTATGCTCGCATTTAGCTTATCCCGCCGCTGCTTCTCGGCCAGATTACGCGCTTCTCGTCCATTCGATGCGCCGCTTCCGTCGTTCGTCTCACTGTCCCCGACGGCGGCGGCTGCTGTCATAACTGCGACGCAGCCGCTGCCGCCGTTCGCTGTGGCTGCAACTACAGCTGCCATGATGTGTGTGTCTCTGTGTGTGTGAGAGTGTGTGTGTGTGCGTGTCAGTGCGATGTGTGTGGGCGCTGCTATTGTTATGGGTGTAAATCGTTAGCTTGTTTTGATTTTGATTCTTACGTTTACGTTTACGTATTCACGGCTTCCGAATTCGAATTCGAATTCGCTGATCTCCATGCATTTGGTGTTTTAGTTGGTATTATTATTATTTTTATTATTATTATTATTATTGTTAATTGGCGCGTTGCGGAAAATTGTCACTCTCCATAACTTTGCGGCTGTTGCCGTTGCCTCTCTGTGCTCGGCTCTGTTTGCGTTTTTCGTTAAAATTTGAGTTTTTGTTGTTGCTATTTCTTTTAAAGTTTTCAAGGTCTCGCTTGTCGTGTTGTTGTTTTTGTTCTTGTTGTTATTGTTGCTGCTGCTTCTCTAGCTACTGCTGCTGTTAACCACCTTTGGGCTATGCGCGCGGCCCCCTTCCTCTTTCTCTCTCTCGGCACACACACACACACACATACACAGTCAGGCAGCGTATGTTATATTCCGTTTTATGGAATTTTTTTTGATTGCGTTGCGAATCTCAATCTCCTTTGCGTTGTGGCTTTGCCTCTCTTGTTTTTGTTGTTATTATTATGGTTTTCGTTGTTGTTTTTGTTGTCGTTGGTCTGCCCGCAAATTATGAACGAATTGGAAGCGAATCAATGGAAAGAGCGTACAATTACTTTGAATATCGCACGCACTATTCGCACTATTTTGTTTATATTAGTGATTAATTGTTTATTAAACAATTATGTAGCTCGGCGACAATTGTGGCAAAAAAAATAATAATGTATCGATATATCGATATGTATGTAGTATTATCGAGCTCAACGACATATCAGCTCCAAAAGTTCCGCCTGAATATAGCAAGCCAAATGAATTGACTTCCTCAAATGAACGTAAATTAGTTTCTATAAATTACATATAAACATTTATATACTATAAATAGTTGAAAATTCTTGGACGTAAAATTTAAAAAACTCATCATTGGTTTAGATTCGTTCTAATTGGAGGTGAACCAGTTCAAAACGATGACATCACGACTCCGATAATAATTCCAATGAGCACACAAACAAACACGCACGCACACACACATGCACCGAATCATCGCGTGTGTCTCTTCCTCTTTCAATAGCTCCACACACTTGGCACATTTGCCAGCTGTGCACGTGAAAGCCGCTGTCGCAGCAGATTTGGCCACAGCAACATCAGCTCAAACAACGCTAACGTAAATCATTCAAGTTATAATCATTGAATTTTGAATATTCTTAGTTCTTTTAACAATAGGTCACTCAACGCATCTAATACCTAGCTTCCGGAATAGACATGTCCAAGGCCAAAGGCAAGAAGAAAGAACGCTTTGATGAGGAGGAGGAGCAGCCAGAGAAAGTTAGCGTCAGTGAAAAGAAACATGAAAAAGGTAAAAAGGGTAAAAAGGGAAAACGCGGTGGCGGCGGTGACTCAAGTGATAATGAATCCCTTGCTGCCAGTAAATTGTCTATTAACGATGCGGACGATATTGAAAGCTTAAAGTCTTCGCAAGGCAAGCAGCAGCAGAAGAAGGCTGCTAAAAAGGGGAAGAAAGGCAAGAAGAATGACGATTGGAGTGATGATGAGAAACCAGTGAAGTCAATACCAACGCTCGACGCCGATGGCTCTGACGAGGATGCACCGGCTGTTGCTAAGCCAGCTTCCAAGAAGCAACAGCAGCAGCAGCAAAGCAAGAAGAGCAAAAAGAACAACAAAAAGAAGGGAAATGATGGCTTTAGCGATGATGATGGCGACGACAATCAGGATGCTGAAATTGCGGAAGACGATGAGGAAGAGGCGACGGTAACAATAGCCAAACCGGCAGCCAAAAAATCGAAAAAGAAGCAAAAGCAACAGAAGAACAAATTCGCAATGAGCGATGATGAAGACGATGTGGATGAGAAAGAGGACGCCGAGGACGATCTGGATAATGAGCCAGAAGTTAAGATGGTCAAGCCAGCAGCAAAGAAATCCAAGAGCCAGAAGAAAAACAAATTCGAACTGAGCGACAAAGACGACGAGGATGACGATGACGACGTCAGCCCTGCTAGTCAGGCGAGCGCCGTTGAGGAGTCAAAGTCTAAGCCAGCATCAGATGCGAAGCTAAGCGAGAAGATTGCTGCACTCAAGCTTGCGGAAGCTGTGACAGAACGACAAGTGCCAGTCGAAACTGAGGCGCAGCCTGAAGAGGCAGCGATTACGCCCAAGTCGGAGGAATCATCGGAGGCATTTGGCGAATCCAAGGACAAGGAGAAGAAAATGTCACACAAGGAGAAAAAGAAGCATAAGAAACAACAGGAATACGAACGCCAAATGGAGTTGATGACGAAAAAGGGCGGCGCCGGTGCCTCGGATTTGGATAACAACTTCACCATGTCCCAGGTGCAGAAGAGCGCCGGACAGCAGGCGGCCCTTGAGCATGCAGTCGACATCAAAATCGAGAATTTCACGATATCGGCAAAAGGTAAGCTAATTTCACAACTTGACGTAACTCGTAAATGAATCATGCTCATCTTCTGTTTTGATAAGGAAACGATTTGTTTGTGAATGCCAATCTGCTGATCGCTCATGGTCGTCGCTACGGTCTGGTGGGTCCCAATGGACACGGCAAGACGACGCTGCTCCGACACATTGCCTCACGGGCGTTCGCCATACCGCCAAACATCGATGTGCTGCTCTGCGAGCAGGAGGTGGTGGCCACCGACAAGACAGCCATTGCTACCATACTGGAGGCCGATGTGAAGCGCACGAAGATGCTGCAGAAGGCCGATGAGCTGGAAAAGCAATTTGCCGCTGGAGATATGACCGTCCAGGAGGAGCTGAACGACACATTTGCCGAACTGAAAGCAATGGGCGCCTACTCGGCAGAGGCAAGGGCCCGTCGTATCCTGGCTGGTCTGGGCTTTAGCAAGGAGATGCAAGATCGACCCACAAACAAATTCTCTGGCGGTTGGCGAATGCGTGTCTCACTCGCTCGTGCTCTGTACTTGGAGCCAACTCTGTTGATGCTGGATGAGCCGACAAATCATTTGGACTTGAATGCAGTTATTTGGCTGGACAACTATTTGCAGGGCTGGAAGAAGACACTGCTGATCGTGTCTCACGACCAGAGCTTCTTGGACAATGTGTGCAACGAAATCATCCATCTGGACCAGAAGAAGCTACATTACTACAAGGGCAACTATTCCATGTTCAAAAAAATGTACGTGCAGAAGCGACGTGAGATGATCAAGGAATATGAGAAGCAAGAGAAACGACTACGTGAACTTAAGGCGCACGGCCAATCGAAGAAGGCGGCCGAGAAGAAGCAGAAGGAATCACTTACCCGAAAACAGGAAAAGAACAAAAGCAAGCAACAGAAACAGGACGAGGACGATGGTCCGCAAGAGCTGCTGGCCCGACCCAAGGAATATATTGTCAAGTTCCGTTTCCCCGAGCCCTCACAGCTCCAGCCGCCGATTCTGGGCATTCACAATGTTACGTTCGCCTACGAGGGCCAGAAGCCCTTGTTCGTCAAAGTCGATTTCGGCATTGATTTAACCAGTCGCGTGGCCATTGTGGGTCCCAACGGTGTCGGCAAATCCACATTTCTCAAGCTACTGCTCGGCGAACTGGAGCCGCAGGAGGGCGAGCAGCGCAAGAATCATCGCTTGCATGTGGGACGCTTTGATCAGCATTCGGGTGAGCATTTGACAGCGGAGGAATCGGCGGCTGAATATCTGCAGCGTCTGTTCAATTTACCACATGAGAAGGCTCGCAAGGCGCTTGGTTCCTTTGGCCTGGTCAGCCATGCGCACACCATCAAAATGAAGGATCTTTCTGGCGGCCAGAAGGCGCGTGTCGCTCTCGCCGAACTGTGCCTTAGTGCGCCCGACGTGCTCATTCTGGATGAGCCTACCAACAATCTAGATATCGAATCGATCGATGCCTTGGCCGAGGCCATCAATGAGTACGAGGGCGGCGTCATCATTGTCTCCCACGACGAGCGTCTCATACGCGAAACGGGTTGCACCCTCTATGTCATTGAAGATCAGACAATTAACGAGATCGAAGGCGACTTTGACGACTATCGCAAGGAGGTGCTCGACTCCCTCGGCGAAGTGGTGAACAATCCGAGCGTGGTAGCTAATGCGGCTGTGCAGCAATAGCCGCGACCATTTGAATTTGTCTCCTTTTATTTCGGCTGTTGCAAGTTAATTCACTAGATAGCCTTTTTATATATTTATGTGTGTGGGGCGAACAGATCCCAATAAAGCAAACACGAAATGTTGAATTTTTTGCAAAAACACCTCCCATTTATTTAATTTAAAATTAGTTGTGTGAATCTTAAATGAATTAGCCATATCGATAAAATTGTTGAACGTTATTCAGTAGCTGCGTCATCGTATTATAGCTATCCACATCGAAGTCTATATTTTCGCCACCAAATTCGATAATCTGCGAATCCATTGATATATTAGAGAATATGTATCTCTAGCAAATAAATAATTATGTTTACCTCTTTGGCTCGTATGGTGTCGCCAGCGCTTGGTATCCCGATTACCTCCACCCATGAGCCTTGGGCGGCACTCAGCTCGCTGGGCAGATTGATCCGCAATTTTTGATTATCTGTGCTGGTACCCAACAGCGTTGATCCGGCCACGCTCTCAACGCGCACCATGATGCTGACAGATTGGCCGGTAAACTGTTTCAGCATGCCGCCATTGACAAGAGTTCGCGATTCAAATGGTGTATTCATTTTCTGTTTTAAGAAAGTTTAACTAGTAATACTGAGTTAGTAAATTCACACAACAAATGCAAATGCGCACATCAGCGAAATAGCGCGAAACAATCGAGCTGAGGCTCCAATTGCAAAGTAAAATATCGATTGCACTTCGATAGCTTTCGTACAAGAAGGAAATTCCCACAAAAATACTTCAAATATCGTACGTTACGGACACTGCACAAATTTAGCACATCTCAGAACATTTAGACCCTGTACTATCAAATAAATGCATCAATGAATGTATTTTATGTGTGCTTGATCTATGTCAAGCACTTTCATCTCGTTCTGGATTGAATACCGCAGATTGAATATCTAATCCATGCGGGCCTCGTGCAATCCCCCCAGACCCTGCACATAGTTGCGAAATGCCCCGATCTCATCCGCCTTGGGCATTTTATTTAAATTGCGAGGTTCCTCACCTAGAACATTAAGAAGCGCGACCTGCTGATTAAGCTGATTTTCGACCTCTACAATGCGCTTGGATAGTTCCTCACGGAGTCCAAAAATTCCTTCCTTCCAACGCTAGCAGCCAAATGTCCGTAGCCATACTGCTGCGTCTGTCCTCCGAGACTACTTTTAAATCGATCGATCTTCGTAAGCAGTGAGCGAATTTCGTCATTAAGGGATTCCTTCTTGGCATATGATGTATTTGATAAGTCGCTATATAAATGCCTCACACGCAATGCCAGGTTGTCAATCAGTTCTGGAGATATAGCCTTAGCTTTGGTTGCTGCTGAATTATCGGCAATTTTTACGAATTTTTAAAGTTCTAATATTTAATTCACAAATTGACTAATCTCAACGCTCAGCATCAACTGAATGAAGTTCCACAAATTTCTGCAAGCAATTTAACTTTTTTCGATAAGTCTTGTTTGAAAGTTTGAAAGCTGTAAGTTGTGTGACCCTCTTACGCAGTTGTTTAAATACTGACGATAAGAGTTCGTATTTTGTGTACTAATTTTTTGTTCCTCCACACAGTATTTTTTGCAGCCCTGAAAGCAAGCGCTGCAAAATCTCTTTTATCTACTGCAGTATTTTAAAAGGGCTCACATAAAAGAGATAGTATTTTTTTAATGTGGCAACGTCAAGTTGTGTTTTCAAATTTACCGAAATATTCAATTGATGTTGGCGTCACCCTTAGACTGTTTTTTTTTTGTTGTTAGTTCCTGTAAAAATTAAAATTCAAAATACATAAATATGGCCGAACAGTCAACAGCAAAGTCAACTATTGTAGCTATTACAAGTGATCATGTCGATCGCCTATTTAGCAAGTGGACAAGCATGTTTGATGAGAAATATTGTCTGGAATTGATGGACAAATTGGGAGACCGCGTGAAAAATTTCTATTGCGACTTGCTGAACGAATCAAATGAGAAAGAACAGCTAATTATGGACGACATCAGTGCTCTGCGAGAGGAGGCCGCAGAGATCCGTCGCCTCTTGCACAAAAACTTGGATATTGGCGAAAAACCCGAGGAAATGCCGCTGGACGTTTGGCTGCAAACGCTGGACAAGAGCATTGAACATCTGCGAGGGGAGCTACGCGAACGTCGAGCGGAAATTTGTGAACTGCTGCTGCAGCAAGATCAGCTCTGCGAAGAGCTAGGTGAGTGTCCGCTGCCACTGCTCGCCGATCCACTTCCCAAGCCAGATGAAATGTCGTCCTTTTGCAAGCATCTCGAGCATCTGCGGGCAGTGCGCGAACGCCGCATGGAGGAGCTCTTCCAGCTACGTAGTCAGATCAAGCAGGACATGATGCTGCTCTCTATAATGCCAACCACTCCCGCAGAGGAGCATTTACTTAGTCATTCGAATCAGCATCTTACGCCGAATATCTTGGAGAAGCTCAGGCTCATGCAAAAGGAGTTTGCCGCACAGGTTCAAGAAATGCGCGAACAGATCGACGACATGCGCGGCAAGATTTACGAGCTGTGGGAGCGTCTGCAGGAGTCGGATGAGTATATCATGCGGAGAGTGCGCTCTGCCGTGGATTATACGCAAGCCACATTCGATGTGTTGCGCGAGGAACTGCAGCGCTGCCAGGCGCTGCGTCGCAAGAATCTGAAGACCTTTATCGAACAACTGCGCCTGGAGATCAAGAAGTGGTGGGACTTGACACTGAAGTCGGAACAGGAGCGAAAGCGATTCTCCAATTTTTTTAATGAGTGGTACAACGAGGACTTGCTAGAGCTGCATGAGCTTGAGCTGGATGATCTGAAGAACTTTTACACTAGCAACAAAGAGATATTTGAGCTATTTGCGAGTCGCTCTGAGTTTTGGGCCCGAATGGAGGCCCTCGAGGCCAAGGCCAACGATCCGAATCGATTCAACAATCGTGGTGGTCAGCTACTTAAGGAGGAGCGCGAAAGGAAGGCAATTGGGACCAAATTGCCAAAGATTGAGCAACAGATCACAGAGTTAGTGAAAGCGTATGAGATGCGTAATCAGTGCCCATTTTTGGTCTATGGCGAGAATATACTGGATCGTATGGCCAACGATTGGGTGCGCCTTCGGCAGGCCAAGGAACAACAGAGCTCTGCACGCAAGCAAGGAGGAGCTACAACCAACGGAAAAATGTTGCCACCTGTAACACCTGGGTCGACGGCTCCACGAACCCCCCTGTCGTTGAGGAATATGTCGGCAATGTCCAGTTCAACGATGTCTTTGCGCAAGACTCCGTCCACTCTGCAGTTGTCCTCGATGGCGAGCTCCGCAGCCAAGACCACAGGTAATCTGCATAAGAGGAAGCTGCCCAATGGCGAAAACAGTTCCAGGGAAGAGACTCCAACTGCCAAGCGGAGTCTGATGAGAGCATTGAGCACGCTGAAGCCGTCGCCAGCAATGCGAAAGCCCAACCAGCGACTAGCTGTCGTCCAGCAGAAGCCAAAAAGGTCGCCCATGAAGAAGGTGCTCGTCTTGCAGAATACTTTGCGTTGCAGCTCGGGTGTGGGGCGTCGTAGCGTGGGCCAATCCGGCAAGAAGCGTCGCAGTAAATTGGACATACCCACTATTTCATATCCATCTACCAGCGATGAACAGGAGCAGGAAAAGGAGCAGCAGCCAGATCCCGAGGATATCGTCAATTACAATAAGTTTGCGCCCAAAGTTCGTTCGTCCGAACTGCCACGAGCATTGACCGCCTCGCGTCCAGCTTTTGTGACCAACAAAGACCAGAAACAGTACGCGCGCAAGGATCTGAACGAGGACCTTGCGCAAACGGTAGAGCTGCCAGAGCCCAGACGTAGCAGAATGTGGCAGCTCAAGCCTAAGAAATGAATGTACTTATTCCATTCAAAATCTATTTGATATTTAAAAATTTATTGCTTTTATTTTATTGTTGTAACTATTTGAAGTATTTTCGAGACTTTATTCAAATGCTTTGTGTCTATATATATATATAAACGGATTTCTATGCATATCGATTAATATCTAAGCGAAACCTAAACAAAAATTAAATTTTTAAGAGGAATTACTATTCAAATGTATTAATCCGATATTTCTGACTTAATATTATTATTATTTATTTATTAGATAATATATAAAAAAATATAAATCTAAAAATGATTAAACGTGCTAGCTACGAGGGCCATCGATCTGACTTAATAATCTTAGTATCTCTTAAGCAATTGAAGTGTCTTAAGATCATATATATTTATGGTTTATCTGCTGAATTTAGTTTTGCGATCACAAGTAAACTAAGGCATACCAATATCGAGGATTAACTGGAAAATAACAAATACATAGTCGTAAGGCTAGTTACTCGTCCCGTTTCGGTTAGCTGGAGCACAGAATATCGAGAAGTCCTACACGCGTCTGGGGCAAAACAATGTTGAATAAGTAACCAATATGAAATTAATTAGGTATTAAAGCTTGTTCAATATTAAATCTATAAATAAAACTAATGTTTCATGCTTTTCAACTGATTTTCTTTTCTTTAATGTATTTACAGTTTTGGTTAGATCATAAAATGCTATAGCTATGTCTATAAGTAATACAAACTTGTTTTTTAAATCGATTTTGTTTAGATTAACTAGTATTTGAACATTTCATTTGATTCTGAAGGCAAATACGTTTATGTATCTAACTATTATAATCTAAACAATTATCTAGTTAGTATGCATGTTCATTTCACTGGTTTAGCAGAATTATTTTATAATATATTTACAATTGAATTCGCTTAATGCAAACAAAAAGAACTGAATACTTAAGGCGCGATTTCTTTATAAATATATATATTACATACATATATACAAGGTCATATTTTTGTTGAGATTGGAATTGCTTAGTTAATTTATAGGGCAACGCCGGTTATTTGCTTGCATTGCTCTGTTGACTGTTCCCGCCATGATTGTACATCAGATGCGCTGAAAGGGAGATAGCGAGTGAGAGAGATAGCATTAGCTGGTGTATCTATGAGCACATGCAATATATGTATATGAGTATTTACCCATCACGACAGGCGCTATGCTGAAAGTGCCAAATGGTGCCGTCGCAGTTGTGCTCGTTGCATTTGTCGTTGCACCAACGAATCCGCTTGCATCGGACAGTGGCACAGATACGGATACGGGCACCGGCACCGGCACGGGCACCTGCACTGGCACTGGCACTGGCGACGTTGTACTATAGGCCACCGGCGAATGCATCATGGGCGTGGCAATCGTCGCTGGCAGCTGAGTCGTAACCGTGGCCATTGGCTGCGGATCGGGCGTCGATTGCTGGTAGCGTGCAGGCGGCATAACGACCGTGGTCAAATGCGAGTTATTGGGCTCGTCCAGCAGGCCGGTGCGCTGCAGCCGACCCGTCTTCGTCTCAATGTGCTTATTGTGGGCACTCAGACAATGGTTGCGCATGTGATAGAGCTGCAGGAAGTAGGCATCGCAGTGGGGGCACTTGTACCGCTCGCCCGTATGCCGTCGTATGTGGGCCTTCAGATCGTTGCTCTGGCTGAAGCTCTTGGGGCACTGATCGCACTTGTACGGACGTTCGCCCGTATGGGTGCGCATATGTATGGTCAGATTGTAGGCACGATGGAAACTCTTACCGCAGGTGTTACACAGATTGGGCTTGGTGCCCGTGTGGTATCTGTAAGGACCAATGTCATTAATCAAATCAGGCGACAGTCTGTCATACAGTTGGGATTAGGGCGCTCTGGCTCACTTACCGCTCGTGCACCTTAAGGTCTGTGGCGCGGGGAAATGCTTTGATGCAGTAACGGCACTTGTATGGCTTCTCGCCATTGTGCCGTCGCATATGGACGCGCAAATAGTCGTTGCGTGCGAAACTGTCGCCGCAAATGCAGCAGAGGAAGTTCCGCTGACCGGTGTGGGTCTTCTCGTGGCTGCGCAACTGTTGCCGCTCCTTGAACGTCTCGTCGCAGCTCTTGCACGCGTATAGGAACTCCGTGTGGAGCAGCGTATGCTTGCGCAGGTAGGTCTTGCTGGAGAAACGCTTTGAGCAGTACTCGCAAGTGTGCTCGCTCATTTGAAGCTTCAGCTCATTGCTGGCGTCGAGACCCTCGCCATTGTGCTTGCTCATCTTGTGCCGATCGAGGGCATCGGCACGGGTGAAGGCCGCATCGCAGAGCACGCACTTGTGTTCCTTATTGCCGTGTAAGCTCTGGACGTGCGCCTTCAAATGATCGCTGCGCGCGAAAGCCTTGGGGCAATGCGGACAGCTGTGCGGCTTTTTCTCCAGGTGGGACAACTTGTGGCGCAGCAAATGGCAATGGCGGGAGAAGGTGCGCAGGCAGACATCGCAACGATTTTCTGGATTTGCTTCCGTTTCGCTTTGCGTCTGTTTACGTCGTCGACGGCGCTGCTTGTCCTTGGTCGCCTTTTGCAAATACTCCCTCACGATTTCCGGCTTCGGTTTGTCCTCATCGAGCTCAGCATTCGCTTCCTCCTCATCCTCATCCTCAGCTTCATCATCCTCTTCATCAAGCTCGCTCTCCTCGTCAGCATCTTCTTCCTCGTCGGCACTGTGAAATAGATCCGCTCTTGCGGCCTCCACCTCATAGTCCTCATCCACCTTGATGCTGTCAGCGCGCTGTCGCTCTTGCTTAATGGATAACTGCTGCTCACCGCCGGCGGTAAGTGGCTCCTCTGTAAAAGCACATAAAGTAAGAGTGTTTATGTGCTTTATGTTCATACTCTATGTTGACTTACCTTTTACCTCTGTTGAAAATGAGCTCGAGGCTGGCTTCTGCTTACTGACGTCTTCGGGCTCCTCCTCCGTATCTGTGTGAATAGCGATCTTTGAATTTGATTTCTTTTTGCGCCTATCGCCTTTCACTTGCTCATCTTCCGCCTCTGCATCTGCCTGGATCTCACGCTCCAGTTCTGCTTCTGGCTCTGGCTCTGGCTTGATGTGCAGCCAAAGCGATTCTTTAGCTTCGGCATGCACCTCATCATCGCCAGAATCCTCATTGCTTGATATAGGATTCGTAGTATGTTGATAGCCACTCTCGTTATTTTCGTTGTCCGAATAGGCAGCTGGATCATTGAATAATACGGCAGCCGATTCCAGCTCATCGCCGCTTTGCATAGTTGCCTCGTCGTTAGGCGTCCACGGCACAGCAGGCTCCAGCTCCTGCTGCCGCGGCACATCGTGGACTTTTCGCATATGGCGTATAAGATGATCGCGTCGCGAGAACTCGTGTTGACAAACCCGACATTTCAGACGCCGACGGAGCAACGGCGAATCTGGTGACTTTTGATCGTGCTGCTCGGTGAGATGGTTACGCAGTTGACGAAGCTTTTGAAACTGCTCACCGCAGAGCCTGCACTTCAGCTCATCCGTCTTCATGTGCTGGCGACTGCGATGCAGGCGTAATTCCAGAATGTTGAGAAATTTTTCATTACAAATCCCGCATGGCAGCATTGGTAATTGGTCAGTCTGGGTGCAGACATCGCTGCTGTTGGGCTTAGTCACAGGTGTGCGTCCCAGCATCGCCACGAGCGAACGGTAAGCCTTCTCGGCGTCCAGCTTGAAGCGATACGCTTGGCAGGCGGCCTTGATGCATGTGTCGCACATGTGATGGGGCATCTTATCATAGCGCTCGCAGGTGTACCGCGTGCACTCGTTGAGTATTTGTGCGATGTTCGCGCCTTGCTCCACGGGCGCCTCATCGTAGATGAAGTAGAAATCGCCCACCTCGCGCAGGCAAACACGGCAGACGCGCTCCGCATCGAATTGGCCGTAGCTGTCAGGCATCGGGATTAGAGTCAAAGTATCTGCTACAATCAAATACCTTCTATTATTGTTGCGGCATTGCGTTTTGTGGGTGTTTTGCAAATTATTTAAGGGGTTTGTTTTACATTTTCTTTCACTTGAACGGGGAATTCACAGTGATCTGGCACCACTTGTCCGTGCTGAGAACTTAGTGGCAACGTTAAACGAATCATTAGTGTTGTATAAAACCACCATAAAGCGCGCATCATAAGCAAACTTGCAAACAAAACAAAAATTTTATTTTCTCAAATTCAGAAATTGCACTTAGAAATTTTATGGAATTTATTTCTAACAGCCACATTTATGACTCAAGATTTTGGCACCTGCAGCTCTATCAGTGATCAATGCCAGTTTTCCATGGGTAGGCTCGACACAAGCAGATGGAAAACTTTTATCCCCGTCTAGGAATACGCTCTGCAGAGTAGGAAACAAATTGTAAATAATTGAGTGCATTAATAATTCGTATGCTTCACACCTTTACAACGTCAGCTTTACTGGCGCCAGCGACAACAAAGACCACATCGTTCGCATTGTTGATCAACGTGAGTGTAAATGTTATTCGCTCTGGCGGCGGCTTTGGTGAATCACGAATCGGAATGACAAGCTTCTCGGTGTGTATCTTGAATTCAGATCGGTCCGGAAACAAGGAACATGTATGCCCGTCCGGTCCCATGCCCAATAGCAACAAATCAAATATCGGACAAGATGAGCCAAATTCGTCGATTATGCGAGCCGCATAGTCACAGGCGCAGGCATCCAAGGAGAGCGCTGTGTCAGCTTTGATTAGTTGGCTCTCCTTAAAGTTGGGTAGATTGGCATGCATTTCAGTTCTGTATGCATTGAAGGTGGATTCTGCATCATCGTCTGGGACATAGCGTTCATCGCAGAAGAAGAATTTCCAGTTAGCGGTATCTATTTTACGGCTGATTAGAGCGCGGGTTAAGAGCTGTACAAGCGAACCACCTGTTGATCGTAGTAAATGTAACACATTATTACTCCATTGACTTTGAGAATCAATAGTTGCACTCAAGGTCACCTTAAGTAGAGCTTATCACACACATACGCATGCATTTATACAAATGCACAATACAGTAATGCGATCCACATTAAAATACGCACCTGAGATGCCAACTCGAAAAGTAGGACGATTTTTCAGAACTTCAGTCGAGCAATGATACAGTTTGTCGCCCAAGCTTTGCACTAGGTGGTCCTCCGTTTCGGATATCCTTACGTGAAACGGGCACTTTCGAGTTGACATTGTTTCACTTAACGAAAATTTACCGAATGATCTTTTCAAACAAATAAATGAATTTAGCTTGTTGTATTTTTGTGTGGCAGTGTTGCCACCTGGTTTGAATGCGAATTGCACAGCACTAAATCTAGTGCTGTAAAATAGTAGCACGCCATTGTCATGTCATCTGGCATTCACACAAACACAAATACATATTTTGAGAATTTCATAAAATTGCGTTGCAAATTCGCGCTCTTTAATTTAATTTATTTTCGTCGTGCAATATTAATTGCTGGCAAGGGGACGCGTTCGCATTTTACGAACTCTCTATTTTGTTGTGTTTATCGTGCTGTGAGCTTTGCATACCTGCATATATCGATGTACAATCGAAGTATCTAATCCAGCAACAAAAGCAAGAACAAAAACAACAGTAGCAACGTGTGTGCACGCAAAAAAGACCTTGTTTATTATTTTTAATACTGACAATATTCGCTCCACACCCCCCAATATCTTGTGTGCTTGTGCGGGAGTGTGAGTGTGTGTGTGCGACATGCCTAAGCGCGGCGGTGGCGGCGGCGGGACTCAACGTTATAACAACAATGCTGGAAATGGCAACGGCAGCGGGGGCGGGGGCAGTGGTGGATCACGTTTTTCTGCTTTGAAAGACTATGATGGTAAGTTTGTTAATGTGCTCAATTACTAAACTCTTATCAAACACAATTCTGTGTCCCATACGCAGATGATGATCATCAGCGTCGAAAGGATCGCAACAAGCGCCGCGTCAGCTTCAAGACATCACAGTTTCCACACAAAAATGATGTGAAGCTACGCTTACAAGATGTCCGTCGCTGGGACGAGGACGATGATATGAGCGAAATGACAACCACTATCAAGGTATACTGCACTTGCATTATATTTTAAAGGAAATTTGGACTCTTAACTGTGAATCAATTTGCTTGCAGGATCGCCCAAGCTCGCGTCGTCGCGGCTCACCAATTCCACGTGGTAAATTTGGCAAACTAGTGCCCAATGGTGCTGGCTGGTATCAAGTGACCGTAAGTAACATATAAATCTGCTATGAAATGTGTGGCAAAGAAATGAATGTATGGTCGCTGATTAGTTGAGCAAATTTAGCACTGGTTAGTTTTTCCTGCTTATCGCATAAATCGCGAATTTATTATCGTCATCTCCTCGGTCGGTCGTTTGCCTATAAAGATATACAGCAGCAGTCGCTATGACAAAACGGCGAGACTTTGGCATTAATGTCAATAGAACTTTAAATCACAAACACACAAATCGCTTATCAAGCAGTTACTTACAGTCATACGATCTTACTATCAATTAAGTACAAAACTTGTTTTCTAAGTACTAAGTACTATGCACGGCACGTTTCTATTTCGATTAAGCATTATCAGTTTATTGGGAACAATAAAGCTGTTGACTGTTTGAACTAAACTCCGGCTAGACTTGGTATTTCCTAGAAATAACTGTGCCGAAATAAATTTAGTTAATTTCGTGATGAAGCATTGTTAATCAACAAACATTGTTATATGTTTAAATATGAATACAATAATTGCGCTCTAGCTACAGTGCAACTCATATGATTAGAGTCACTTTTGATGTAAGTGGCCCACTTCATATTAGTTTCTCTTGTACATATGTATATGCGAATGTGTGTGTGTGTCGGTTAGTTTAATTATTTAACAGCCCTGTTATAGTCCTCATGCTGATCGCAATGAGCTTCGGTCACAGCGTGCGCTCCCATTGTCGCCAGCTAATCTGCTATCTCTCTGCCAATGGAGCCAATAAAAAACGCGTCAGAGCAGCGCTGTTTCCTTTCAGCCGCCGGGCCGTTGAGTATATAGTAGTTGGGTCATTTCAGTGACAGCCGGCAAACGTTCAAGTCTCGCGCAGCCAACTAAACCGAAACGCCGATTCTCAAGTGTAAATTGGACTAGCGCCTGCTACGCATAAAAGCCAAAGAGAAAGAGAGAGAGAGAGAGGAGAGACCTGTGCAATGAGTACGTTGGGAGCTTGGGACTATGCCATCCTGGCCGTGGTCCTCATCATATCAATATGCATCGGTGTCTATTATCGGTACGTGGACAATAAACAGAGCAATACCACGGCGTATTTTCTGGCTGATCGTTCCATGGGCGTAACGCCAGTGGCGTTCAGCTTGATGGCCAGCTTCATGTCGGCGGTCACAATACTTGGCGTATCCATGGAGATCTATCAGTATGGCACCATGTTCGTCATCATCAATATCTCGTATGTGCTGGCAACACCTGTTGCCGCCTATCTAATACTGCCAGTATTTTATCGCTTGAAAACGGCCAGCGTCTATGAATATCTGGAGCTACGCTTTGGGTATGCCACCCGTTTGGTGGCCTCGATAACCTTCTCGCTCCAAATGATACTCTACATGGGCATTGTGGTCTATGCTCCGGCACTGGCGCTTGAAGCAGTCACGGGCCTAAGTCAGATCTTCTCTATCCTAATTGTGGGCATCGTCTGCACCATTTATGCCACAATGGGTGGCATGAAGGCGGTGCTCATAACGGACATATACCAATCGATCCTGATGTTTGTCTCCGTCTTCAGTATCATCATCTACACGGGCATCAAGGCCGGTAGCTTCGATGACGTTTGGAAGGTAGCGCAGGAAACCGGGCGCATTGACTTCACCAACGTTAGCGTAGATCCCACAACTCGACACTCCTGGTTCACACAGGTGCTCGGCGGCAGTGCAACCTACCTGAGCCTGTACGGCGTAAATCAAGCGCAAGTGCAACGGCTGCTGGCCGTGCGCAATCTGCGATCAGCGCGCGCCGCTCTCTGGTGGTGTTTGCCCATCTTGTGCCTGCTAAGCATCAGCACTTGCTTCTCGGGTCTGTGCATCTATTGGTACTACCGCAACTGTGATCCGCTGTTGGCTGGACGCGTCAGCTCGCGGGACCAGATCATGCCGCTATTTGTGGTGGACACCATGGGCGGCTATACTGGACTGGCGGGTCTCTTTGTGTCCGGCATATTCTGTGCCAGCCTGTCGACGATCAGCACAGCGATCAGCTCGCTGGCTGCTGTCACACTGGAGGATTACCTGAAGCCACTGATGCACAGCTGTGGGAAACGCACGCTCACGGATCATCAGACCATGTGGTACTCCAAGCTGTTGTCGGCCTTCTTTGGTGCTCTCTGCATTGGCGTGGCCTTCCTGGCCGGCTCCATTGGTGGTCTGCTGCAGGCGGCTCTATCCATCTTTGGCATCATTGGCGGCCCCCTGTTGGGTCTCTTCACGCTGGGCATGTACGTGACGTCGGCCAATCAAAAAGGCGCCATTGGCGGCCTGCTACTGTCGCTAGCCATTTCCTTTTGGATTGGCTTCGGTCAGCCAAAGCCGCCCATACCCAGCCTGGAGATGTCCATTGCCGGCTGCCCGGCTGATCGCAGCTATGCCACCGACATATTCCTCCTGCAAACCGAGACTGCACACTTCAGAGAGAATCCCGAGCCCGAACCGGAATCGTCGTACTTCTATCTCTACCGCATTAGCTACATGTGGTATGCACCCATTGGCTTCGTCGTGTCCTTGTTTGGCGGCTGGCTGCTCTCGTACTGCATGGCCGCCTTCAAGTGGGACAACAATCGTCAGATCTACCACGACGCCGATTGCACGCTGATCAAGCACGATCTCTTTGTGCCGCCCATAGCCAAGCGCCTGCAGCGCCGCCAAATGCCACGCCTAGTCGTGACCAGCACCACCAGCAGCGGCAGTGGCTTTGGCAGCAACAGGAACAGCTACATCCACAAGGAGTCCAAAAGCGAAAAGCCACACACACAAATCTAATCTATTGAACTCTTCAATTCTTCTCTTCCGTTAGTTATATCCTGAACCCATTGAAAATGGGAAATCAGGGTATAATGGTTTTGTTGAAATGTATG